TAAATTCTGTTCTTGATTATTCAAATACTCGATTTTGTCTATTTTTGAGTACTTGGGATTTATTTATCAGGATGTGTGTACGGTGCTTGTTCTCATGGTGTTATGCTGTCTGTTCTCTGTTGCTGCTTGAAGTACTGAAATTTGTTATATCAAGATATGTGTGTGGTGTTTGTTTCTCGTGGTGTTATGTTGTTTGTTCTCCATTGCTGCTGAAACACTGAAATTTCCCCATTGAGGAATCAATAAAGTACCTACCTACCATAGACTCCCATTATAAAAAAGAATCAGAATAGATCCTCAAAGCAAAAGTGAGGGCTATTTGTAAACCGCCTCAGTTCCTTCATTTTATGGAATATCTTCACATAAAGGTGATCAATCTGTTTGTTGTTGTGTTGCACCTCTGAATGTAACCCAGTACAGTACATCACCTTTAACTATGACCTTTGTAATAAACACCTCTACAGGTATGTCATCTGGACCAACAGCCTTTCCACTCTTCATCCTCCTCAGAGCCTTCCTCACCTCATCCTTTCTAATCTTTGCTACTTCCTGCTCTACAATATTCACCTCTTCCCCCTTATTTCCCTCTCATTTTCCTCATTCATCAGTTCCTCAGAATACTCCTTCCATCTTCTCTGCACACTCTCCTCACTTGTTAGCACCTTTCCATCTCTGTCTTTAATCGCCCTTATCTGTTGCACATCCTTCCCATCTCTATCTCTCTGTCTTGCTAATCTGTACAAGTCCTTATCTCCTTCCCTCGTGTCTAACCTGGCATACAACTCATCATATGCTTTCTGTTTGGCCATTGCCACCTCCCTCTTCACTCTACGCTGCAATTGTTTGTAATCCTGTCTACTGTCTTCAGTCCTTTCTATATCCCACTTCTTTTTAGTTAGCCTCTTCCTCTGAATGCTGTCCTGTACTTCTTCGTTCCACCACCATGTTTCCTTATCTTCTGTCCTCCTTCCAGATGACACACCTAGCACCTTCCTACCTGTCTCCCTGATCATTTCTGCTGTAGTTTCCCAGTCATCTGGAAGTTCTTCCTGACCACCCAAAGCCTGTCTCAACTTTTGTCTGAATTCCTCATGACATTCTTTCCTTTGCAACTTCCACCACTTGGTCTTCTTTTCTGTCTTTCCTCTCCTCTTCTTCCTGACCACCAGAGTCATCCTACACACCACCATCCGATGCTGTCTGGCTACACTTTCTCCTACCACCACTTTGCAGTCCCTAATCTCTCTCAGATAGCCTCATCTACATAGAATGTAGTCTACCTGCTACCTACCTACTCCTACCTCCACTCTTATATGTAACTCTATGTTCCTCCCTCTTCTGGAAACAGGTGTTAACTACAGCCATTTCCATCCTCTTAGCAAAGTCCACCACCATCTGTCCTTCTAGGTTCCTTCCCTTAACACCAAACCTGCCCATCACCTCCTCATCACCTTTGTTCCCCTCACCAACGTGCCCGCTGAAGTCTGCCCCAATCACCACTCTCTCCCCTCTGGGAATACTATCCATCACCTCATCTAACTCACTCCAGAATCTCTCCTTCTCTTCTAACTCACCCCCTACTTGTGGAGCATAACCACTGACTACATTCAACATTACCCCTTCAATTTCCAACTTCAAACTGATCACCCTGTCTGACACTCTTTTCACCTCTAAAACATTCCTCACCAGCTCCTCCTTCAGGATCACTCCTACCACCTCTCTTCCTGTCCACACCATAGTAAAACAGTTTGTATCCTCCTCCAATACTACGTACTTTGCTACCCTTCCACCTGGTCTCCTGCACACACAGTATATCTACCTTCCTTCTCTCCATCATGTCTGCCAGCTCTCTATCTTTCCCTGTCATTGTGCCAACGTTAAGAGTCCCTATTCTCAGACCTACATTCCTGCCTTTCCTCTTCTCTCTCTGTCTATGAACCTGTCCACCTCCTTTCCTTCAACCAACAGTAGTCCAGTTTCCACTGGCACCCTGTAGGTCAACAGCACCAGTGGCGGTCGTTGTTAACCCGGGCCTTGACCAGTCCAGTATGGGATTCGAACTGATGATTCGCATGTTTAGATTTGTCACGTTTTCCCAAACCTCTATAAATTAGCCAAGCATTTCCTGTGTACCCCAGCCTCATCTGTGCCATGTGAACAGGTTTTTTCCAAGGCTGGGGAAATGGTCTGTAAAAGGAGAAACTGCTTGTGTCCGAACACTGTGGATTTACTGTTATTTCTCAATAAAAACTCATAAACAGGTACATAAGCACACCCTCTTTATCCACATACCCATGAACCTCTTTACCAATGAACCCCAAAACACACCTTGCCAAGGTCCATACTATAATCTGTATTTGCACCAGTCCCATGTGCGAATGACATCTGTCTGAATCTGTAGAGCACATCTCATGAATGTAGCAGCACCATTTAAATGTTTCATAACACAAAATATAAGTGAGGTGCATATAGGGTTACAATCAGAAGTGCCAAATAAGACACATGGTCCATTTTATATTTTGTTGTGTCAGCTTGAAACCATACAACCATGTAGTGTAGTCGAACAGGAATGTGCATCCATGAGGTGAGTGTCAATACATGACTGAAGATTAGACTTGACCCAGATAATGCAAGTTCAGCTATAGATCATAGCCTCCAGAAAACAAAGCAAGCTTTAGAAATGAAAGGACTACTTTTGATGCACACCAACTTTTTAAAAAACACAAAACTTGTTGTTTCGAGCATCTAGTCCATCACAACTATGCATATATGAGGATTAAGACATGACGAGGAGAAGGTAGATCATCTGATCTAAATGTGTTGAATATTGCCTTCTCGTGCACCATAAACTTACTGCATGGTGCACTCTTCAAAGGCACAGTGCTCCTCCAGAATAACCAGGAAACAGTCTTCATGATGGTCAAAGACAAAGTTCAGTAAGCAGCATTCATTTTGTCTGCTTGTCCCCCCTATGGACAGACACAGACAGGACACTGGACCTCTGCAGACACACACCCATGCTCACACCTCTTCCTAAAGACTGAGATTTGCACTGAGCTGCACCTCATGTTACTACACTCTTGCTGCTAACATGCTGCTGACCTGATTAGGTCCCATACATCCCTTTTTATTTGTTCATATTTTTATATTGACATACAATTGTGTGTTATGTAAATAATGTGTCTTTTAAGCCGAGAGCTGCCGGAACAAATTTCTTTGCGCTATACATAATGACAATAAAGATTCTTGACTCTTGACTAATCAGAACAACAAAAACAACTGGAGTGGACACTCATATAATAGTCCATATATAAGGAAAAATAACCTTTAACAAAAAGTCAAACAAAAATGAATCAAACACCCTATGTTAGATTTTCAATTCAATTCAGCTTAGATATCACAGTAATATTGAGAATATTGTGTTGTGGTTTGTGGAACTTGCTTCCTTATTTTCTGTCTCTCCCTGCTTGCCATCTCACCCAGCCAGCGTAATCATCCATCATCACCTCCACCTGTTGCTAATTTACTCTCGGCCTTTCTTGTCATATATACACCGTCTTCCCATTTACTCCCTGCTGGTTCGTTAATCAACTTACTGATGCTTCCGTCCTCATTGTCGACGCTCACCTGCTCCCTGACCTGCTACCTGATGCTCCAGCTCTCTGTTTCCCCAGCTCTGCACTCTCCAGTTCTCCACTCACCTTCTGTTAATTCTACGCTGCCTGCCTACCTGTCCTGTCCAGTACCTGCTCTGCCTCTGTCCCTCTCTCCTCCCAGTAACCTGACTTCCTTTGTTATATAAACTCC